TTTTGCAAAAACTTTTTTTTATTCGCACGCGCGCATCGATTTTGGAGTTCCCGGAGGATGTCATCCATATAATCAAATCAACATGGCCTAATGCAAAGGAAGGACGATGAAAGTCAGAGAGAAACCTCAATGATTGAGTCCGTACCCTTTGGGAAGTTTACTTAGATCTCAACTTTCCACACGTAAAGAAAGATTGAAAAAAAAATAAGATCGAAAAGTAATTTTCTTGTTGAATGTCTCGTGGTGTGTTCAATGAATGTTTCTGTGAGTGCCCAATTCCCTTGCTTTTCTCTCGAGTGAGGAAAATATTCCTATGAATCTGGTTCGGATGGCTGACGTGACGGGCATTGATCCAGCAGACGTGTTCTCCCTCTGGAACCGCAGCAGAGTGTGTAAATCGTGTTACACCCTCGCACCAAACCGCACAGATCCTCATTAGCCAAACACAATTGAAAGACAAACTCCCCGAAAATCGCTTAATCTTCATCTGCATGTCAAAAAAGCTCCGTTTCTAATCACTTTTCCTCTGGACATTTCACAAAAGGGTGCAGAAGCTTTATCAATAATGTATGGAAGCGCAACAACTGCTAACCGAAGATATCTTTGTATCAATCATAAATTATTATATATATGTATGAATGTTGGAAGATAGCAATTACCAGTTTGCCTAGGTTATGCCTAGAATATATTTCGCTCCTTTAAAAAAAAACATTTTTATATTCCTCTTTTAAAAGTACAATACCGTGGATCAATATCAAATATGAATTTGAATTGTATGTGTTATTCTTAACAAGATTATAATTTTGCAGGCGTCAGGTCATTAAGTTGTCACCTCTCCAAAGGGTCCTTGCTGGTTGACAGTTTCCCGTTGATCTAATCTTCAGGAGTATTGGTTGTGATGAAGTCAAGAAGCGGAGCTACTTCCGTGATTTTCATCTTCCCAGTAGAGATATATAGTAGATTCGGGACTGTCGCAAAACCTTTTTTGTTCTTGAGAAACGAAATGCTCCTGCAGAATGATAAAGAGTTTCGCTGCCTCTGACAACGAAATGATATTGGTTAATTTTAACTCTTATTTAGAGTTATTTAAATATACAAGTATATTATCATATTGCCAGAAGACTTCGTCCAATCAGAAGGCTCCTTTTCAAATAGGTTATCAGGCCGTAACATCAAAAGTGGTTGGTTATTAGAATATTGACCACTTTTTGGACCGTACCATTATACACTAACAGTAGTATAGTGTTAAGACTTGCATTATTTATCTATTAAACAACGTATTGTAGTTTTTTAGATAATTTATTTAAAAAAACACAATTAAAACATATTAACAAAAAGACTTATTATGATATTTGATACCCCATTTGAACAAAAATTAGAAAAATTGTAAAGTTTAAACTGAACTAATTCGTAATATATTGAAATGCACGCTCACTCTGTGGTATATTCGGTGGTTATCGCACTTGACCAGGGATTATCTCACCATATACACCTCGGGGCAAGGCATTAACCCTTTATTTAATCATAGAGTTTTGATTGTAGGTAATGACAGAAAATGTCGTCTGGAAGCAAAATCAACACTTTTGAGACTACCCCGATGGTGAATTTTCCCCACGCTATCAGAAGATTGGCTGTTTAATGCCTGGGTGACAGCACCACGCCTTTCTGTAATTAAATGTGATATCATCTCCGCTGTTTTTGACTTTCATTAATTGTTCTACACACTGATCGCTCGAGCGTAACAAGGACTACAGAAGAGATGTTTCAGCGACATTCTCTGTTTTACGGTACACTGATGATGAAAGTAAAATTGGATAAAGAGTTCCTATTTCCAGATATCCCCCTGGGGCGGCAAACTTGCTGAGTGTGGCATATTCTATGAGCACAGGAAGACGACTTGCAATTTTGCAAATGCAAACAATGTATTTCATACATTATATACAGAAGGATAACGCTAACATTGATCTGGAAAAATAGATAAGAGACAACGCTATGTAAATCACGTCCAGTAACGTATTGATAACTGCAACATATATTCTACCTAAAAGCGCACGTAACACCAATTACACAGACTCACGGGAGTGATATGTATTTTGAAATGTGTGCCCTTCGATAACAAATCAGGGAATATACCGTATAGATGTCTGCCATTGTGTTACACTGATCACAATTTACATATTCTTTTCAAAGTAGTCTGTGAGAATGATAGGATCGAAGGCTTGCAGCAATAGGGGTCACAGGCATAGGAATTTTACAAAAACATAAATGTCAATACTTGCTCGACCGTGCACGTTTTGATGAAACATAACAGCCTTTCCTGTTACAACGTGTGCGTTGATGAATGGTCTCCCTCTTTCAACGCGCTATTCGTAAAAATGGCGATCTCAATTCCTCATTTATCTTCATCAAAAGGGAGAAACTTACACTCACGTATTTGAGCTCGTCCATCAACGTGTCTTAAAGGCCATTACACGAACAAGTCCTCGATCATGATGATCGGTTTAAATGTGGGAAGGCGACGCGTCGTCCATGAGAACATGCCCCGAGGACGTCTCTTTTTGTAGTTCATCTCATGTGTCTATCATACACACACATTACCCTGCCACTAATGGATTGCATACTATAGATTTTAGCTCTCCTTACTCGTCATATCAAAATGTTTTTCCTTGGTAGTAGCATGGCACTTCTATAGACGTCACCTACCGAGTGTTCACAGAAATGCAGTTAGTTTTTGCTACAAGCTTGTGGGCTGGAGATTGTTGCCTTCGCCGATGGCCTTTAACACAAAGCAGATGCTTCACGGGGTGTGACTTTATGAGCAGAATTTTAGAGTAATTCTTCTTCAGGGTGTCTGACTCAATATCATCCACATTGTCGTGACGACCTCATGTTCACCCGTCGGGATCGCGTGACAAACTTTTCCATGACGTCAACAGTTCTGGGCGGTAGCCTCTTGCCTGTGCTGTCTTTTATTGTAGTAAGAATTGCGCAGAATGTAAATGTCCTCGTCACGAAGCTTGTCCCTTTCTGCCGAGGAGTGGTCATAGCCCGCGTCATTGCTACCTAGAAAATACAAAAATCGTACACAACGTAGCACTGTGGACAAAGTTTACGAACATATATCTAACTGTATACTGTTATAACTCGTGCATTGCTAATGGTAAGAAAAACCTTGTTGCGTTTAAATTATGATTACGAGAAGGCTAATTGCAGGTACAATCAACACTGTATGAAAAAAGAAAATACAATGGTATTGAGAGACTATGTCGAACATTATACTACATTCTACAACATACATGGTACTAGTTTTGCTGGATCAAAAACGCAACTTTTAGAAAAATGGACAAGCTTTTTTTGTGAAGAAATGAACATGCAAGAGAACACAACGCACTAGGAATGCTGCTCTGGTAACCAAACCTATTCTAGCCACCGAATTTCTTTCGTCCTCTTCGCAAATAAGACAAAAAGAATCTAAGCAGCTAAAGTGGGTTTGGTGACCAGAATAGAGCATGATTCATATCTGTCAACTAAAACCAAAGCATGTGGAAAATATGACTGATAAGAGTTATTACGTCTGTCTTATTATCTTACTTGCAGAAACAGGTTGGCCACTCAAGAGTTGAATTAATATAGAGCAGTATCTTGTAGATTAAGCTTTGATTGATGAGTTTCCTTCCCTTAAATGATAAACTGGTAGAGAGCATCGTTTTAATAAAGCAAAGATTGAAGGGTCGCTCTTCCTAACAGTGATGATAAGCTACTATATTAGCGTGATAGCATGATAATGACGCATTTGAGGAGAACATCAAATGTAGTTCACTCTTTTCTGACGCCGTAATATAATTTTCCAGCAATTTGGATAGAAATCGCCATGTGGCGCTTCATTGTATCTTGGGAATGGCGCATGTTCCCGTTGTAAGGCCTTGTAACTATGTACAAAAATTTACCTTTAGAATATGACTTCCATGTATAGAATTCTTCTCACTATCAAAATCTGTGCCATTGATGCATTTTTGTCTGTAACACAGCCAGTAGAATTAGTGGCGCCAAGAGACTGGGATAACCTTTACAGAATAATTGCCATAATTGATGAATGAGAAGTATTCTTCCATGGCAGTGGTTGCATTGCCCCTATAATGTTGCTGCCTAACCAGAAAATCGATGGGAATATCCAACCATGCGAGCGGCAATTGTTTTCTAATAAACCCGGCGTTCATCGCACCATAATGGCCTTCCAGAAGTAATAAACGTTGATTTTAAAGTAATGTGTGTTATAATGAGACAGACAAGATGTGGCGGTGCTTTACGCTAGTCTGACTGCCTCACATCTAAGCTTACAGTGCTATCACAGAGTCCATTGCATGCTCATGGACTGTGTTTTCCCCCTGAGTGATAAATGTGGAGAATTAACGTCAAGTCCCTGGCTTATTTTTAAGATCATCAACAGAAAATAACATCTAGCGTAGTGGATACTATGAACATATGTAGCATCTACAGGCATCATAGCGATTTCATATTGAATTGTTGAATCAAATAAGACCTGATGCAAAAAATGTGTTAAGAAATGGCAGCAAATGTCAATATCAGACAGATTTTCTCACATTTGTTGGGGGTGGGTGGGTTAAAGTCCTGATATTGCATTTGATGCCTTTAAAGCTGTTGCCTACACTAGCAACAATTACAAACCACGAATATAGTCATTTTAGTTATTAAAAACAATATTGGATAACAAATATCGTAGGAAAAAGCGTATAAAGATTCCACTCTTTTTCCAATGTGGTAAACAATACTTTTACAGCATTGGCAGAGCATGTCAAAACAACATGTCAAAATGGCAACGTTCCAAGCTCCCAACAGTTCCAAGAAAATCCGTCTAAATTTCCCAGCTATTCTTGAAAAAAAAGCCAAGCAACTTTTTGGGTAATGCATCTTGAGCGAAACGCCAATTTAAAGGTAATCTTGCAGTTGTTTGTTCCTATCCACGGATAGCTGGTACTTACTGGAATACGATAGACCGGATGTGTATGGAGACTTGTCTACTTTCGGAGGAGGCCGAGGTCTGGGTGTTTTGTCGAAGTGTTGCAACTCTATTACATTCTTTTGATTCATAGTATCCGTCTTTGTACTGTGTCTGTAATCAGAAAACAAGAAAATAAATCTATATTGTGCTTACAACGTGATATTTGGGACGTTCACAGTACAACAAATGGTATTAGTTTCAAACTAATTGTCTAAAATCCGATGTACTCTGCTCAGATGTCGATACGGTGCTAGAAAAAATAATTGTTATTACCCTTGAGTCTTTCTACATGCAAAGCAGATGTCATTGACCGATAACAAACAATGATCCGAGTATTGAATAGACAGTACGAGTGTTTCCTGCTATTGCTTTTTCAACAAGAGTTGTCACATAGAAACGACTGAGGGTTAGGAGGCTGCAAGGTGCGTTTCCCGATAGCACGCCACTGTATGAAAAACCACGTTTTCAAGAGTTTCCAGTCCCGCACACGCTCGTGAAATTCGCCGTGTCCTGGTCGCGTCCATGGATTTCCGGGCTCCGCGTGTACGGCCCCGGATATTTCCTTACACTCCCGGATTCGTGCTCGCCGTGCACGTGCACGGAAATTTACGCCCCGCACACTTGGCGTGTGTTGGGGAGCGGCTAACAATAAGGGGTAATTAGGTACTGCGTGTATTCCTGTTTCAGGTGATAATTACTTGAACCAAAGTTGCCAGCACTTTATCTAAGCAAATTAGATATGGAATGATCAAGGATTGTTAATACAACATTTGAACCTATGCGTCCTTGGCTTGATTTATCGTGATGTCGTCCACACGACAAAGCACATTTGAGCGTAGGGCGCCCCGACGCTGGGGTTATATGACCTACTCGGTCAAAATGACCTAAATCTACACTCCGGTCTAAATCTGAATTTTTTATTTTGGAAATAATAGTTTATCCGTGAGGTTCATTACCATGATGTAATCAAACGCTTGACTAAAGGGGTTTGAACTAACATGACCTGATCAGTTTGTTATGATTTTTAGGTACATGTATGGGTAATAATATGCAAGCTTTACATTGTAGTTCGGTCGATGTGTATTGCGATGTGTCTGACATGGCGTCCGTTTATGTGAATAGCCTTTGTGTAAACAAAGGGAGAACTCACAGCGTCCCCATGCCTGGTAAAATACTGAAATCCAGCAAAACAAGTCAACCCTCATGACATTAATTGTGGATTTTGGATACATTTACAAAGAGTAAGGTTATGTTGGAGTTGAAGTGCGGTTTTATTTCACTTAGTGAGCGACAAGTTGTGTAATTCTAGAACGAATAAAGCCATGTAATCATGACGAATTAGAATTATGAAGATCATTTGTCTGCCTTGAAATAAATACATTCACACAATCAGAAACATCCTATCATCCAAGTGTTCGGATTGCACAGGCGATTTAACTTAAAACCTATAATATAAAAACAAGATGGTTGTAGTATTGAACGCGATCACGTGATTATATGACTGACGACCAATCCTACCTCGCTCTCGCCGGGACCAGCCAATAAGAGACGCGATGCTTTGTTTTGGTGGGTCGTTTGAATCTTGCTTTGTCACAACGACGGTTTGCTTTTTCAAAACACGTTTGTCTCGGCTTGCAAAGATTACTAGTATGTTCCTGAACTAAAATGGCGTCAAACATTCCGTTCTGTTACTTCGTTTTCGCAACGGAAGAAATGACTCTACTACATTGATAGGACAACACCGCAACGAACCAGCAAACCGACAGGAGGAAGGGTAAGCTAAAACAAGGATACTATTATATATACGGCACTATCGTTACATATATCTTAAACATGTTGTTTAAAAACCTTGGCTAAGTTGTGCCTACGGCAGAAATATTTATTTTGGCAAGAAGTGTACACTATTTTTTTACTGATTAATAACATAGTTTATTATTTCTACTTAGAAGTACATCGATATAGTTTGTATGTTGCTCAGAACATATGTACTTTTTTCAGGCGCGGATTTGGGATACTTTGAGACGATTTGAAGAAACTTTATCGCCAGGCTGTCGGAGAGCTCAGAAAAGAAAGAAAGAAAAGCGACTGCAGTCACACAGAAGAGGGTGAGTCTATGCAAATGTATATCTTTGCATACGAAAGCCGACAAGGCTCTTGACAATTTGAATTGTTGTGTTTGTATTGTTCCCATGATTACAATGAAAAGAAACAAGTAGACGTTGATGCTTGATGAATGGAGCCTTTTCATCTGGACAAAATTGTTGCTGTCTGCGCTAAAAACATTCGTTAAAAATGATAAATGACTTCTCCTCGAAATGTGTCCATACAGACGTCCGCATCTTTGCCAGGCTTGTTTAATAAAACGTCTAGTACATGTACACGTAACTTCAAATGAAATTCAAAAATGCCTTCGACTTTTGACTTAGATTTCGTTTTTCCTATGTCCTGCAGGCCAGGCTGGAGGCAAACAGGCAGACTGCACACCCAGGCTCAGATCTAAAGGCGAGGGTGCTGTGTTAAAGCGCCCGGCAGGCTCCGACGACCCAGGCCGGCCCCGCTGCACTCCCGCCCGGGGTGCACCCCGCGCCCAGCACGCCGCTCCGGCCTGACTGCGATCACAACCGACACCAACACCACGCCATCCCGCAGACAGACATGGGGCAGTTTGTCCTTCCAGGATTAAAACATTTCGCTATGGTCCCCTGAAGGGAGGGGGGGGGCATACCTCCTGGCCTTCAATCTACAACTAAGCCTCATTTTGTAGAGGCGACAACGCAAACTTTACGAAACCGACAGCTTGTCTTTAACGACATTGTAAATTGAATACGTGTTCATGTAATTAATTTCTGAGCAAATGATTCTTTTTTGTAATGACGTGATATTGTTTCTGCCAAGCCTCATTTAACTTCATGTTAGGTCTGCCATTATGTTTTTGCTACACGTACATGTATTTTGAAGAACTTTGTTTGAGGCCTTCTTTGTTTATTGAAAATTTAGTCTTTTGACTGTTTGTGTAAGCGCCATTCACTTTCATGATCTGAGGGCTATTTTCCTCTTTTAACCTGATGATATGTCAGAATTAGTTACTTTTTGACATTTTTGCTAAAATGGACTTCTATTTGGAGGTGACTGTGATGAGATGTGATGTTAGTTTACTTTTTAAAGTTAGAGAAATCTGTTAATTACTAGTAATTTCTGAGTTTACACCGGGTCCAACGATTTTAAAAGTCTAGTCCCTGGAAGGCTAGTTCGGGAAAAAGCTATTGTTTCTATGTTTCGGCTACACATTTTTGTAAAGTACCAGGTTACATTATTGTATAGTGTTAGCATAGTACATAACGTGTATACACTATACATAGAGCGTTATTTTTGTCAATCTGTAAATGGCGATCCTGTTTATACCAATAAAACGATGAATGAAGTATAAACATGTATTACTTTTTTTTATGAATGAAATGTGTTCCTAAAACATCGAAATGTGTCCCGGGAGCGGGGGAAGCGATTTCTCGGGAGCCGGGCAGCGAAGCCCCGGGAGCGAGGGAACGGGGGGTCCCGTAGTGGGTGCGAGT